AATATATATATATATATATATATATATATATATATATGAAAATGTATACATATACATACATATAAATACACAAAGGAGGAACATACACACATAGGATATGTCCCATCAATTGGACACATTATGCCATCATCCAATATGCCACCCATTGCGTATATTATAAATATATGTATACATATATTTTTATTTTCTTCAAGGACTCGATAGGGTTTACGATTATCGGCACATATTTTATTTTCTTGTATTTTCTTTGTAATATACGTATATTTAATTGTTTGTTTTTCTTTTCACCCGAGACGAGTTAAAACGGTGGAGGAGAGAATCTTACGAGAGATTTAATTAGTTAATCAATTAGGCCGTATTTCGTTTTGCGAACATTTTCGTAACGTTCGTCAGTCTGTTACAGTAATTTCCGTTGATACTCGGCGGAAGCATATAAATGTATCGATAAAATGTAACCATAATATTTATAATAATTGAATAGATTTGATAATATGCGTCAATCTGCGAGGAAGTTCGGCAGTTTTAATTTTATTTTATTTCATTGTTAAATGCAGCAAATCATGAAGAATAATATTGATAGGACAACGTGTATCCATGTATCGACGTTTAAAGAAAAAAAAAAATGTGGGAAATATAATAATATATTAGCACGTGGTCGTTCACTGCGCTCGTCGTCGTTTTCTCCATTCCATCGTTCTTTTAACACATTGTTGACTAAATTCACAAATATATAATCGTATTTGCACATGCATGCAACTTATATAATTATTAAAGTACAAAACAATATAAATTATATTTATTATACAAAACGAGCCATAAGTTCTTAGATGATTTTCAAAATCGATTACTCTTCCTTCGAAATTTCTCAGACTTTTAGTTAGGCTTGTAGTATTATAATTTAAAAAAAAAAACATTAGTCTAAAGGACGTCTCGAGCAAGGATAATTAATGTTTCAAATCACCGAAGAATTATAGCCTCATCTTATAATATTATAATATTAGATAATGTTTGCTTAATTTTAATATTACCAATTTTCCACGAATATTCGATATTTTAATAATAATTTTCATTCAATTATAAAAATAAATGTAGATAAAATAGATAATTATCGGTCAACAATGTGTTAATATATCCTGCGTAATAGAATTAATCGTTCGTATATATTATTTATATACAAAATTCTCGTTCATCGAGACTTCATTTCTTTTACTTTCTATTATCAAAGATGGCGGATTATCTTCTGGCAAGAGAAGATACAATGTTGCAGAATAATAAAATCATCTTCACGATCTACACAACACTATTCCTTTTCTTAGATTCGTTCTCCTTTTTCTTTTTTACGTTTGTAAAAAAAATAATAAGAAAATAACAAAAAAAGACAAAAAGAACAGAAAAGAAGACAAAGGAAGATTATCGGAATCGTTGGTCGAGAATCGTTGACCGGGTTCATCTCGGAGAGGATTGCTTCTTCTTCTTCTTCTTTTCTTCTTCTTCTTCTTCTTCTTCTTCTTCTTCTTCTTCTTCTTCTTCTTCTTCTTCTTCTTCTTCTTCAGAAAAAGAATTTGAGGATTTCCTTCTCTCTCTTTCTCTTTCTCTCTTTATTTCTCTTCTCGCTGACTTGCGTCCTTTCTGATGAAAGACTAGAATAATCCGTTGTCAAGTAGGACAGGTCGAAGGACGACAGTCGCGAATTCACTTCAATCACACACCGACTTCGTCTGTGTTTTAAGGGTTGAACAACACCTTGACACAAGAACGCCTTGCGTACCCTTTTATGTACATCGTTTCGAAACTATATACATATGTTTAGCCATATATATGTATCTATAAATATATATATATGGGTCTTTGAATATATATATGTATGTATATTCTTCACAGATAATCATTATCGACGTTTTGCGCGTCCTGAGACTTTAAAGTGGCCATTTCTTCGGCTGTGCCATCCTCACATTCTTGTTCCTCAACGAAACTAATACTACCGGCTTTGTACCACACAACTAAGTCCACGACGAAAGCCAATATTAGGATTCCACCTGTCGTGCCTGTTGCAAATTGAAAATCTTAGAGTTATTCAAGTATATAGAAATTGTTTGTTAATTTTAATTTTAATGTCAAATTTTTATTATCAAAAATCGTTATTTTATATATTTGTATTAATCTAATTGATATTATTTATGCATAGTTATATGCGTATTGAGTATCTTTAAATATTTATATTTTTCTGTTGCATTTTTCTTTAGTTTCAAGAAAATTATTTCACAAGTTATAATGTGATTGAATGTAAAGATATTCGCGTACCGTGATAAAACATCCTGAAGACATTTGAGTCGTAGAGCCAGCAGGCACCTCGTTCACCACAAGCGTATTCCCACACGAGACACGCTGAATCCACAACAGCACCGTATACGATTGGGCATGGTACATTACCTGTGTAATCAAATGAATAATACATATACATTTTATTTGTGATAACAAATTGATTACAATTATTTATTCAAATATTCTGTTTATGTTGTATGTAACGGATCAAAAGTTATGCAATTTTGAAGAATATCATACGAATATTGTTAGGTATTAATGTAATAAATAATAAGTGATTTATCAATGTAATCTGATAAACAATATTTTTATAAAGAATTTAATATTTTTCAATGAATATATTCTGTTCATTCTAACTAATCAAAAGATATTGAATTTTCTAGAATTTATGTGATTTATCGAATGAATTAATAAAAAAATTCTTTGAGAAAGTAACGGTCATAATAAATTCATATTTTTATATTGAAATACTGTGTTTATTTTAATAGATGAAAACAAGAATGAAATTTTTAAGAATTCACAGATACTCTTAGTTAATAATGTAACAGATAATCAATGATTTATCGAACCGATCGATTAAAAGATTCCTTGAGATAATAATGATAAATCCTTTGGAGGTATCGCAAGCACGTGGGAATGAAAGAAAAAAATCTGGTATACGTCTTTGGATTTGCGTAATAACGGGCAACGTCGCGAGGCCAGACGTGTAGAAAGTAGCGTAGTAAGTTGTTTCCCAGCGTCCATAAAACGTGAAGCGCGTAATTGCGAAATCATGCGAGTAGTAGTAATAGTATTCTTACCCGAGGAACGAGTAGGAAGGAAAAGGAAGAAAGAAGGAAAGAAAGAAGGAAGAAAGGAAGGATAACGTTAGAGAAAAAGAAAGAGAATATATACGGACATAAAATATAATTACCAAACAAGCCAATAGCAAATTGTATGAGACCCAGGGCCATGGCCTTGTCCCGTGGATCCACGCAACGTAATATCAGTAACATGGAACCAACCTCGCTCGTCGAGTGTATAAAAACGAACACCGAGAAGAGAATCATGTAGACCCAAAAGTTACTGCACTCCAATGGGCAATAACCAATCGTCGCTGTGTTCGTCGTTATTTCCGGCATCGTTAAATTTTGCCCGATGCACTGGCAGTTAAAAAACTGGAAGAGAATAATAATAATAATAATAATAAAAAAGAAAAAATTAAGACAGAGAGAAAGAACAAAATAGCGAACGGGATTACGTTAATGGGATCTCGTTAATATTTTATTACGATATAAACTTCTTCTTATTTTATTTTCTTATTATTATCAGATATTTTTCCTCGGGGGAGACAATTTAAAATAAACTTCTCGAATCGATATGTGTAATTATGTATAAGTATAAATATACATATCTCTTTGAAAGATAGAGAAAGAGCGAGAAGGAGAGAGAAATCTTAACATACCGATTCCACTTTACCGTCCGCTATCGTGTAATTCGAGCAGCCAGCATGACACGCGGAGAAGTACGTTTTACCATCCGCGCCACAGATCGGGCTGAACTTGTTTCGATCGCAGTCGCAGGTTGCTTCGCAGGTTGGCTCGAAGCTCGAGATTCTGAGAAAACAGTGATCATGCATGAATGAAAATTATTTCTCTTACTATGATACGAATAAATTTCATCAAAGAGGATAATGACGCTAATGGTTATGATAATAATGATTATTGCTATTTCATTTCTTACCCATCGGAGTGCGAGATAAGACCAGCAAAGTCGTCCATCGGGCAACCAACGAACATCAATACGGCCATACCAATAGCATAAACGACTGCTGTAAAAGCTATCCATGCTGCAACGAACCTAGCGTTTGGTTTCGCTCTCAGAATGAATACTCCGCTGATTATAATACCGATGCCCATTACTAGAATACCACCGACACCTGTCAAAAGAAAATATTACCATGCGTTTGTGTGTGAGAATTTCAAAACTGATTAAATGTTACATTTGATAGGTAGCTATTGATTATTACCTGATATCATGTTAGCATGATGAGCTGGCAAGCGAAATTGGCTCTCGAGGTACTTTGGTAAGAATGTGTAAAGTCCTGCGATTGGCAGGATGTGCAGCACGCTGCTAGCTGTCCTGAACATCAGGATATCGTTCTTAAGGAGCCTTTTAACTGCCTTTGGAAAATCTGTAAATAAATGTATTATATTTGTCAAGAAAAATAATAAAGATAAAATAAAATAAATTATAATACAAAGACAAATTTAATGGACATATTTTTTGAGGAAGAAAAATGATTGTAATTTTGATTCGTTTGAGATTAGAAGAGATTTATTTCGATAGAAAGACTGGAAGGATATATGTACGTAGACGCGTAGTACGTAGGAAACGACGCGGCTAAGAGGCTTCTTCTAGCCTTCCAGAAAAGGCAGCATAGAGTCGTGGCAACCCCGCATAGAAACGTCCCGTACATAGACCCTAAGTAGACAAACGTGACCAACATCGAGCTCCACGTATTACCGCGACAACCCTGCTATAGGTTTAGTAAATATATAGGGTGATCGTTAAACGATTCGTTAAGTTTTATGTCATTACTTATCAACCATCTAATATTTTTCCTTTGACGATTGTTAAAGAACAAGAACGTTCATTTTCATAGACTCTGAATTTATTTGCAAGTATACTATTACTAAGTGATTTTACTACGACTGACAGACAATGAGACAGTATTGATGTATTATTGTAATCAAAGATTAGATTGGAAACATAATTCACGGTGATACCACAGGGACGAAATTTGACGTAGTCCGAATTGATACCTATAAGGATTGCAAATTTGCGAATACAGTGTATTAACCTATTCTAAATTATAAAATTAGATATAAAAAAGATTAAAGTTTGCTTTAAATTAAACACAATCTTAGAAAAAAATGACAATTGATAGGTGTTGATTTAAATAGTTTTACAGAATAAAAAAAGGATTACCGAAAACCAACAAAATTATGAGAATTTGATTATGAGAATTGATTTATTTATATATGACGACGGAATAAACGAAAGAAAAATCTTGATTAAAATCGAATAGGGTGAATTTGAAGGGGGAGGTTGAGAAGTGGTATAGAGGCGCGTGAATTTACTTTGTAGGTGTACCTGTGCCACGTGTAAATATGTGTGTACGTATGTGTGCGCTCGACGCACGACGCGTGACCGTGAACTTGCCCCACCTCGTGCACTCGTGCACGAGTCGGTCGGTCATTAGCGTTAATGCACGCACGCTCGAGTGCGCGCGAGCGCGCAATCACGCGTGAGCACCCGCGTGTGCGCGCGCGCGCGAATAAGCGAATAAACGAATAAGCGAGAAAGAGCTGCACAACTCGGAGGATTGCGCACGAGGGACGAGCCGACGGCATTCTTTCCTCGCGTCCTTCCTGCCCCACGACGTTATGTATGTACCTACGACGTCCGGGCACCTTTTCGTTTCGTTTCGTTTCGTTTCGTTCGCTCGATCGAACACGCCTATGCTCTTTCATTTTCTTTCTTTCTCTCTCTCTCTCTGTCTCTCTCTCTCTGTTTCTCTTTTTCATTCTTGTCTTTTGACGTGACTCGCGAGCCTTCGTGTCGTGTCTTCCATTGTGATTTATTAGGTCTACCGAAAAATTCTCACAGAGACGACGAATCTTCTTTCTTCTCTGTTTTTTTTTTTCTTTTCTTTTCTTTCTTTCTTTATTTATTTATTTATAAAATTAATGTGTCAAAAGGATTTAGGATTTTGTTTAAAAATAATTTTTGTGGAAAAAGAAAAGAAGAAGATGAGAAGAAAAAGCAAATTCGATTTGCAAAATATATAATTTGTGATTTAAAAATAATCTTTAGCGAATCGAATTTGATGTAAAAATAATTATGCGGCAAGCGTATAAAAAGTATTATTATATTTTTATGCGACAATTTATTTCAATCTCTCGTGTATATTATAAATAATTTTGCCTTTTTTTCTTTCAATCATCAAGATGATCAAATAGTACAACGGTATTTGAAACTTATTCGAAAGAAGCCATGTTTGTTCAATGGCTATCAAATATCAAATTATTCATTTTCGAAGTATAATACCTATCATTCGTTCGACGCGTTTAATCGGGGTGGAGAGGATGTAGAAAAAAACAAAAAAATAAAAGAAGGAGAAGAAGAAGAAGAAGAAGAAGAAGAAGCAATAGAAGAAGCTTTTTTGTTTTTCTTGCGTCACGATATTTTAACCTTTGCTCCTTTTGCAAAGAGTGCGGCAGCAACGTGCGCTCGGCTATTTGTTGCTCGATCGTGCCGCGATATAAATATTCTTATGCGAGGACTCATTATCTTAGCCGTGGGCGAAACTCAGCCCGCTGGAAGCGCCGATTAACTTGCGAAGAGCACCACATTGTCTCCGCTTTTTATTTGCATTCTCGTTAGCCTTCGAGGCCCGGCTGCCGAAATGGGCTGAGCCTGATGCGAAATTTTACCGAGAGGATTTTCGTCGTCTTCGTCGTCGTCGTTCTCCTTCTCCTTCTCCTTCTCCTTCTTCTTCTTCTTCCTCTTTTCCCTCTCTTTCTCTTCTTCTTTTCTCTTCTCATTCAAGAATTCGTGACATTTTTTCAATAACACCAAAACAAAAACTACAAGCAATATTTTTCCCTTTTCTACATCTCTTTTTCTGATGATAATGATAATAATAATAATAATAATAATAATCATCATCATCATCATCATTTGCCGAGACCTATCATTATTTTCAATTTTAATATCACCGAAACACAACACCTATTTAAATCATATGATATCTTTAATATCGATAAACCGAATCACGTTCGTGCTATGTTGTAGATCAAAAAATGACGTCCATTAAACTACCAGAGAAGATTTTCGGTTAAAGCCTTTTGCCAGATTGGACAGGTATAAAAAAAGATAGCCGATTAAAATCTTTCCATTTCCATGGGCTCAAAAGAGAGAGAGAGAGAGAGAGAGAGAGAGAGAAAGACAGTGAGAGAGAGTGAGGAGAGAGAAAGAGAGAGAAAGGCGACATTTTTATATCCTTCCAAGTTTTTTATCGGTGCGCCGACCTTTAAAAGGTAAGAAAAATTTAATGGCCAACTAAAGGATTAAGACGGTCGAGCAAGTCTCTCTCTCTCTCTCTCTCTCTCTCTTTTTCATTCTTTCTTTATTTCTTTCTTTCTTCATCTTCTGGATGGTGAAATGTACGCCTCGTCGATTATACGAACGATCGCTGATCTCTCTCTCTCTCTCTCTCTTTTTCTTTCTCTCTCTCTCTCTCTCTCTCTTTCTCTCTTTCAACCCCACTCCAAACTCCTATTCCTTTTTCCTCTGAAGATTAACCAGGACTTACCTCTTAGACTAGGTTTTTTGGCATCCGCTCGTTTCGGCGGTGTTCTGTTCGTCGGCAAATGCGGAGGAAAGGCGAACATTCCTATGCTGACCAACATCAGCATCGCGGATATCAGCACCAGACCTTTAAAATAAAAGAGGAACACTTTACGTCACGATTATTCACGCTCGATGCATTTTTACCGCGGAGAATTTTCGGTTACAAACAAAAAATATATACATATTATTTTTAATCTAGTCACTGATTTGCCAATTAAATCCGTCATGAATCATCGTTTAGTATATTGCGAATAAAATTAAGAAAGAAAAAAAAAAAGGGGGAAAAAAATTATATATATATATATATATATAATTATGCACATATAGAAATCACGTATAAAAACGTTGTATTTTTGTTTTTTTTTTTAACCGACGTACGATTTTGTCCAATCAATTTTTTCCCCTTTTCTTCCTTTTTATTATGTTAAACGAACAAGCGCGTCGAATTTTTTTCGATAATTAGGTACCATTTTGTTTCTCATTTATTTAAACGTTTATATTACGGCCCTGTAACAAACTTCGCGAATTATTTTTACGCCGACGCTCTCGAAAACGTGCGGCACAATAAAACGCTTGATATCCTAATAATACTAAGGAAAGTCAGTGACAAACGGGTATATGTATTTACATATACACATACAGATATATATGTATATTTATGTTCGTATGTTGCATATTTACAAATATATTTCGCGAAATTTAAAGGTCGTCGAATTTTTAGTATCGTCCGTTTGGTTTTTTTCTTCATCTTGTTCTTCGAAAGAAAATGTGTCGTTTTTAACAGAATTATTATTATTATAATTATGATGATTATTATTATACTGGTAAACGATTTAATGTGAAAATGTTACTCGTAATATAATTATGATTGGATCAAAGTTATTTGAATGGTTTTATATATTTAGAAAACTTACCGAGCCACCACGCACCAACCCATCTTGGATCGGTAGGCGTGATTTGTGGATTTGCGGATAGATCTGCATAAAGCATCGTGCAAAGTGATCCAAGGATAAAGCCTAACGCTGGTCCCAGAATCCTAACACCAATCGTGATTGCTATCAAAAGAGAAACATTAAAATGAAATGGTTAAAAATTTATTAAAAAATATATTTGCCGATTTTATCAGATTAGTCGCATGACATACGTATGCATTTTTGTGTTATAATAATAGATTATTTTTCTTCGAGAAAGAAAAGAAAAAAAATATAAGAAGAAATTTCTTACCGAAATACAAGGGACTTTCTCTGCTGGCAACGTTATCGTCGATGTATGGTATGCCAAGAGTGTAAACGGCTGTTTGACCCATTCCAACACCGAGCAAAGAGACGAAAAATATTGCCAGGACTACCGTCGTTATTTTACTTTGTATTCTTTGTTCCGTTAGAAAGTCACCTTCGCAATATGCGATCGAATCACCATGTGGTGCCGTTGTACCTAATGTTAACCTACGATGTAAACAATAAAATTATATTTAACGATTTTATTGATGTTTGTTTTGTAATAATGTATACATACATCAAATATATTAGTTTGGTAGGTTCACAATTAAAATAATAATGAAATATTTTCTTTAGGTGAACAGTAAAGAAAAATAAGGAACAATTATTACGTATATAATGATTGCACAATATTAAACGTACTCGTCGAGCGTATGGTTCTCTGATCGTACACGCAACTTGCAGAGATTTGCTGGGACTGGATCAGTATTGTTATGTCCACCCAATTCGCCAGTAGGTCCGACGCCGCTGAAAAGCATCTCGTTTTGTTGGATCAGCTGTTCACCGTAGATGAAATGAGGCATCGAGCAGGTGAAGGAGCTCACGGCAAAGAGAATCATGCCCCAGGCGATCCACTTAGGCCGGTGACCTTGGCCGCAGTAATACGTTAAGAGAAGGGACGAACCGATCTGGCCGATCTCAGTCGCAGACATTATGATACCCGTCGTTTTCGATTGGATTTGGAAGAGCTTTTCGATCGTTGTGATCACTGAGACGAAATATGTGTAGTACATGCCTTGAAGCACCTGTAAACAAAAAATATAATTATGTCCTTCCGAATCTATAGAAATTTAGGAGAGTATCTTTATCTTTTTTCTCATTATTTTTGTTGCTGATTTTTTAATGAAACTTCTCAAATAATACGATAAAAGAAACTTCATTTGTGTTTTATAAAATGTTTAACTTCAAATATATAATTCATATGAGTGCTAGATGAATATCGAATAAATTAAATGTAGTGTTGTTTGATTATATGATAAATTGAAGAAATATTGAAATATCGGTACTGACCCAGGTAATGCAAAAGATAACCAAGAAGGCCTGCTTCGTAGAAAAGTATTGCAACCATCGAGGTCTAAATGGACCCCAACCACAGGAAACGTCAGAATCATCGAATTCCGTGTGAAGGCTGCTAGATTTTTCGTCAGGCACGATCAGCTTCCCATTCTCGGCTGCTCCGTTCTCATGTTGCTTTCCATTTGGTATCGAGCCATTGTTGTTATGCTTGCTACAGATAAGGCCGTTTCCATTAGCCATCTTTGCTGGTATTATCGTGAGAGCCTCGACGGTCCCATTCGCCAGAATCTGTCTGTCCTCACCCGCCATTGTCTACGCTTTCTTTTCTTCTTCCTTTTACTTTTTCTCCTTCTTCTTCTTCGTTCTTCCTTTTCCTCTTTCTCGCAGCAATCGTCTCTCTTGCTAGGATACCTTCTCGATCGAGTCGATCTATGTAAAAATCGTTGTAATATATTATTTCAGACTAGACTCTGATATTTCTGATTTTTTTACTTGTTTTTATTATCTACCTTGTAAAAGAATTTTAACGTGTTCGCGAAGAAAGAAATAAAACTACTATTACATTCACTATATCATTAATACTATAACAATTACTATTACTAACAACAATAATAATTATGCCGTTCTCACAGGGAAATGATGCAATAACGAAAGACTTTTAAACACGATTAATGAAATCACTCGTATTTTTATGTTTAGACAAATATATTGTTATATTTTGTTATACGTTTCACGAGTTATTGTATTTGCAATTTTACTTTTATATTTTTTGTCTAAATATTTTTTCTTTTCACATTTTTACAAATAATTATTTATTCCCTTTTTGTTAAACCAGGCCACTATATCTATCTTTTTCTTTAAAGTTAGTAAAGAAGGATACTTTTAACTTCTCTCAAACGAATCCAGCCCCGTGAACTTTTCGAAAGAATTGATCGGATCTACCTCGATCCTGATCGAATCGTGCATGACTCGTGATAATCGAGACTTTGCGAACAAAGGGGGACGTGTATTAACCTACGAGTCACGATAGTCTAGAAAATCGTATATAACGTCCGCGTTGGTCTACCATGACTATTCATAAACCTTTAACATAATCGTATAGATAATATAATGTTCTAAGTATAAATACTAACTTGTCCGTTCATTTTTCAAACTAATCGCCACGATGTCTATATATATATCTATATGTATACTATATAAATATTATAATTACCGAAAGCTTCGAAATATTTGTTGACTACTTTATTTGCAATTCATTTTAGTAGAATTAACATACATTTCATTTTGTATTTTAGTGATATTCCTAAATTGGAATATCTAATGTTGATTGTCAATTATAATTTTTATTTATTTTATATCTAAATTCATAACATTGTAATATTGTTGAATATTATTAATTGGAACTAATTGAATACAATACTACATTAGAAAATATCATTTATTTATAAATTAATAATATTGATATTAATAATTACATATAACTCAATAATACTGTTCTATTATATTATTGTTTAATTATTATTACAGCGTATTGTTATTTCCAATATTATATTCTAAACATTCGGAAATAATTGTCTAACCTAAGCCAATAGAATTTCGATGCTATACATCATCTTCTCGTTCGAGGTTTGCGGTTAATGTATAACGTAGAAATTTGTTTTATATTTATCGTTCATTTACGAAATAGAATGGGCACGATCGTAAAAATTGATTTAGGTTTGCGGTCAATGAAGGATCTTTCACTAATACGATTCGGTTAGTTCGTGAGAGGATCGTCTACGTAAGTGAGTAAGAAAGTTCACGAGACACCTTGTAGACGTGAGTCCTCTCACTTTCGTCCGTGCCCGACTTTCCTCATTTCCCTTACGTTCCATCGTACTGACTACTATCTCGCCAATGCGGTTTTCACTGACACTGACAACGAGTATGAGCCTATGAGAAAGAGAGATACTAGACGTGCGAGAGAGCCGATTTACTTGTAAGCACACACGCACACACACACAGCGGGTGACCGCGAAATAAGATTCGTCACTTTCGCCATTACGTTCGCCTTCGTTTCCTACGACTTAAAACCGGTCGACACAATCGACGAGACGAGATCTCAAATCCTTTACTTCGAATCACGTTAAATACTTAACAACACTTTCTACACAAAAATAATATTCAATTAATATTTATGATTTAGAAGCAAATTTATATTAATTTTAATCACATCGCTTTTGTTTTAATATTTTATTAGGGTATTTTTTTAAATATTATATTATATATGGATAATATAAACAATTATATTATTATTATTACCGCGCAATCGATAAAGTTCAGTGTTGAAAAATTTAATAACGTTTTATTGTATTATTATACTCTTTCAATATAATAAGTAAATTTTATGTAATATATTAATTGAATTATATACAGTATAAATATACAATAATTATTACATTGTATTTTATATATAGAATAATATTACAATATTTTTTTAAATATTATAATAATCTCAATACATTTTATTGAAAATTGTGACATTATTGATCCATTCAATAAAATACTATATATAATATATTGTATAAGTTGTTTCAGAATACTAAATTCAAAGTATCTCCAATAAAACTAAAATAAAACCTAATACATATAATCGATAAATTTACGTTCAAATTTACGATGCAAAATATAAAAATTGTATCGTTCGATTATTGTAAAAAGTGTAATAAAAATTGTTAAATACGTGTGGTAGAAGAAAAGAATGCGATTGAATCTCGAAGAATGCAAGCTAAAAAGGGATCCCATGAGAGAAACTCGAGGCCGAAGAACCGTATGTTTATGTCTCGTTTGCATACGCGTAGACATGCGGCCACTGTATAACAAAGTTCCGGAAGAGGATGTGAACGTTGGCAAATGGATTTTACAGCGTCGTTAATGGCCTAATCACAACGCATAGGTACATACGTAGATATGTATGTATATACTTGCATACTCATACATGTTCGTATATATATATATATATATATTCATATATGTATATGTACGCATAAATCGTCAGTGGTAACTGACCTCCGAAAGATCGTTCAAGAATATCGATGCTTTTACGATGTGACGCCATTTCTATACGCCATTGACCCGAGATCGTATGTTTATTAACACCTCGAGAAACGCGTGCTTCTTGTCCTCGGCAGAAATAGAGAAACAGACTCTCGATAATGTCCATTAATACATCGAAAGATATTGCGAATTCCATTTTATGTGCTCTTGGTTTTATAATAATAATAATAATTATTATTATTCATTAATCTTTTGTAATGCAATTAGTTGTATCGGTTGGGTTTATATTATAATTGATCTATAAACAAATAATATGAGAAAATAATAGTATAATTATATAAATATTTTATTAATACTATAAATAGTTTTTTTTATTATATACTTAAAAAGGTAATATAATATAATAATATAACTTTGGATTGTGGTCAATAATGTTTTATTTGTCAGTAAAACGTTATTAGTATTGTTTATCAGGATTATTATGAATTTGAAAAATATTTTAATATTAATAAGTAATTTTATAAGTAATATATAGCATATATAATTATATTATATTTTGTAGCATGAGTAAATTTACCGTGTGACTTTCAAATTATATAAAAGGGATGGAGAATTCATTTAAAATAATTAATCAACCGTGCCAATTGAATAAAAATTCAATAATAATATAATACCAATACTAATAATATTAATTATAATTATATTTATACTAATCACCCTTAGTATATTATTTTAAAATTTCTCGCTTCTCTCTACACCTCGTTTGATGTTCCGATAGAAATTATTTAATAAGATGAGCGTGCTGCTTTCGAAGAATTTTACTTTCGTCGAATCGTCCGAGATCGTTAGAAGCAAGAACGATCGTTGGGATGTTCGAACAAGGTCGCAAGTCTTTTGCTTCTGCAAGAGGCAGAAAGGTAGAGAGCCGCAAGGCTTGCAATCGATTACTTCCCGCTCGTTAAAGTGGATCGAAACGTGGATTTGTATCCAGGCTACGGTCAGAACGAAATCGAGAGCGAACTCGATGCGATAGAAAATGAAAGAAAAAGAAATTGGTGGTAAGTATAATATCTGATGGTGAAATTCTAAAGAAACATCTTTCCTTAAGAATTATCTTTGCTTTTTACGATCGCGCGAGAATTATTTTCTAATCGTTTTATTATTTTTCTATGCGATATAAACAAAAAAAAGCATCATGTTTTTCTTTAATATAGTAAATGATGGTGAAATTTTAAAGAGAGATCTTTTCTTAAGAATTATTACTTTTCCTTGTAAAAAGATTTTATTTGATTTTTCTATAATCTCTATGGTATGTGAAAAAAGTATATAAATATATTTTATAATAATACAAGATGAAAACGAAAGGATTTTTTATAATTATAAAAAATTAATTAGATAATTTTTTTCCAAACTGTAAATATTATATATAGGCTTAGAAACTTCTATACAATATCTATTGAAATTAATCTAAAAAGTTTCGTAAAGGAGTAATTAAATTTTTTCTAATCACTTTAACAATTTCTGACCCACCCATTATATCGAGTCAATAATATTACGATAATATCACAAATAATCGATAAAAAAAATCATCTATTGACCAATCTAATAATAATACGATTACCACAAAACGCATTCCGTTTATACCTCGTAGATAATATCAACCTATTAATTACTATCATTTATGTACTCGAATCAGATCTTGTTTTTATTGCTAGTAATCGAAGGGGATTTTACAGTAAGATTTCTCTTTCTCTCTTTCTCTCCAGTCTTGGATCTCGAGTTAACGTAAGATTGCTTAGGCTTCTAGGTGAGATCAGGTGTGAGGGAGAGGAAGGAGGGATGGAAGAGAAAGGGGAAAAGGAGGAGGAAGGAGAAGAAATTTCCGGTAATAAATTGTCGCGGTATGTTGACTGTAGGCTTGAATGGAGACTCGAATGTCTCGTAACCGTTGGTAAAGTGCCCACACGTAGTGGACAACATACACACACACACACACACACGTACTTATAGAAATATATATATACATGTATTTATATGTTTGTGTCGGTGAGTGTATGTGTGTATGATGAGGATAAAGACGTCGATAGACTTTAAGATAGAAACTTGGCCTGATCATCGTTTCGATCCTTGTTTCTCTTAGAAACCTAGCTTGTTCCTCGATTACGATCGATCTTCTAAACTTGTATGTTGTGTCTTACTAAAAAGGAGACATGAAATAACTTTCTCACTCTCGCTTTTTTTCTATCTGTTTCTCTCTCACTTTATAGGTCTTTCATTCAAGATCATAGATATGAAGCTATGACAGCCAATTTACTGACGCAATCATTTAATTTGATATTATAATTATATATGTAATATATATTTATAATTTAAAAAAAAAACCATTATTAGAT